CACAAGGCAGTGGGTGGTTTGGAGGTTTGCTTGAGGGACTCCGCCCGGAGCCTTTGGCTCAATAGCCTGACCCACAAGGCAGTGGAGAGCAGATCCAGCTCGGGAATGTGATTGCAGAGACAGATGGGGATCTGCTTGACGGCCGTCACACGCAGCCTTTGAGGTTCTGGAACAATTATCATATGTTTTGCGACCGTAATTGGATACGCACCTGCGACCACGGCCAGACGCAGGTGGGTTTTTGGCGGGTTTGCACCAATTTGACCAGGGGCTGCCTGGCTTGAGGCGGGCAGTAGCAAACCATTGAACACCCGGAGGTGTCCTCCCACCGTCAGAGACAATGCGTGGCACTCGTGCTCTACGCCAATCGAGCATTGAGAATATCACCCGTAACTTGTTGTCTCCCATGGCTAGGTTTTACGGGAAGTGGGCCATCGACCACTTCCTAACCTCCGGAGAGGATGGACTAGGATACTGCCAGGGCGCCCAATCCTGACAGGAGAACGACTCGGGTCCTCAGCCAAAGCCTTCGATTAAATGAACACCCGAAAGGCAGCGGGTCTAGCACATGGTCAGTTAGCTGACTCATGCGGATTGGTGTCCTGGATCTTAGCAGGGAGAAGGGCGAAACCTAACTCCCACCCAGCGGTCGCCACGTGGAGGCGCCCAGGACATGAGAATATGGCGCAACAGTAGCAGCAGTGGGTAGACCATCTGTCAGGATCTAGCCACCACCAGCCTCAGCGCACCATAGGCTCTCCCGCCATATATATATATAAATATATATATATATACATATATATATACATATACATATATATATATATATGCATGACTGACCCCTTTCACCAAACAAGTGATGGGTGGAGATTACTTTTAAAGTGTGGGACCTACCGTTTCTGCACTCATTTAAAAGTTCTCCGGTTCCAAATTACTTGTTCACATTTACTCGTGATCCTGCGTTTTTCCGAGGTCTGGGTCATTAATGACCTTCCTTGCCACCAACCCTGTCATAATTATTATGCTGATACTGTCATCTACATCAATTGCTTACACAGTGCCACCTCGGGGCGTTTGGATATGAAGTTATGACCTACTCGGGGTATTTTTCTATTGCTTCATAGGTTGTATGTCACATGTCCAGTGATCAGAACATAGACTCCCCTCTCTGGACTGAATATCTTCTTTTACTCATTATCCGAAATCCTACCAACCACCGTCATTCCCTATGGAATCCTGTTGACTGGACAGTACATCTTCTCGTTGTTTGTAAGTTTCCAACGCAGTTAAGCGCATTCGGCTGGTAGTTCACTCGTTGATGGAACTTAGCGCGTTGTTGACCTCGTCAGACAGCACCGGGATATTATAAATTGTGTCTTAAATCACGTAAGATTCCCATTTATCGTCGATCCCCCAAAAGCGGTAGGCTTTTCGCCTACCACTTTTGATTGTCTTTCTGGTATCTTACATCGCTTCTTAATCATTCTGTCACTAGACTTCGGTGCTTTGACCACTGTTCCCCTGTTGATGTTCGTTTTTGAAGCAGTTAGTTCCTTTCAACAATTTGAAAATGGAAAGAAGACGAAAGCTTTTGTGTGGTGTGGAAACTAGTTACATATTCCTCTAAGGGTGCACCCGTTGACCTTGTAAAATAGATGCTGAAGTTCGGTGGTAATGACGCTGCCTCCTTCGTTTGGAAGGTCGCATACACCTCTTCCTAGTAAATCCCACCTGCCGAGCATACATATTGAATGTGATTCTGGAGACAATCGCGAAATGACCGATTAACAGCGACATTTTCAGTGTTGTTCTTTCTCTAGTTCGCATTTTTAAAGCGAACAGCACCCAGCCCCAGTTTTCGGAATAGCCGAGAGTTACTTCATAGAAGATCACAGTCCAAATTGTGGATTACGTGTCGTGGTCCGGCTAACACAGCAGGCTCTTCAACCCCCCAAAGCGGGCTGATTGACAATTTCAATCTTAGTTTGGGCAAACCACCTCAATTTTTTCGGTAGTTGAATTTGACATTCCGTTTGCCATTTCCTTACCCTGCCTAGTTTTTTGCGATCTTTTTTGGTTGATACCTTCAACTACTCTTCATTTTTCTGCAATGACACAGGACACTGAAAAGGCACGTTATTTCGAATCTGTATGAAAATCGAGATTTCGATGAACCTCGTCTGTCACAAACGCAACGCGTGCATGAGGACGTAATCAGTTAAATGAGTTCACGGTTAAGCTTGCATGACACTTAATGCCATTCAGATGATTGTTTCAATTCTTTCTATTCACGGTACATCAAACGTCTCATCTTTATCAATGGCTCCCCACTAATTCTCAACTTTCGGATTTCTATTCCACTATAACACCTTGAATGAGTTGACTGAGTTCATTTGAAGATCAGCCATCTTAATGCGCTTGGGGTTCCCGTTCTTTCCTTGATATACTCCACATCGGATGCCATGATTATTTTTGGGAGTGCTCAGCTGCCATTTAAGCCAGACGATGGTCAGTTCAGCTTCTGTAGGTGTTGCTGCAACTGCAAGTGAGCTGGAAGATTTCCCGTTGGGGTAGACCTAGGCGCATAAGACGATTGAGCACTCCCCAAATTTAGGTAACCAATGTAGCAATAGGCGCATTAAGACGACTGATCACCAAGTGAATCCGATGGATTCCTCCCAGGTGTTGCTACGCAACCGAAGTCCGAAACTGTTGGCGATTGGTGAGGTAAGTCCTCTGGCGTTCTGTGTACAAATACATTTAGATTGCTTTGTCTGATTGTGCAAGGCGTGTTAATTGCCACGTATGTCTAGCTATATAAGTAGGAGTTCAACGTAGTCAAATGTTCACGTCTTCATGCATGTGTAGGGTTTGTGATCGATGAGAGCAATCGAAGTGTCTATGTATCACAGTTTACTTATTCTCATTGTGATGTTGAAGGGGTTAAACTGGTCTCATTGTGTCAACTTTGTTGCTGTACCTCCAAATGTGAGCAATCCAGATCCACTAAACACCCTTGTGACAGGTCCCGTAAAACACCCACACACGTATGGTATGGACAGACTAGATCTTATTCAATATTTCTTATTGCATTGTCGTCTCATTACGACCTTATCATTGGCCTAATCAAGTTGAACTCATAGGTCCACATTCTACTGCTCGCTTTTTGACTGGTGTTTATTGCGAGCGATTCTCCGATTACCCCATCTATAGTTCAACCGCATTGTAGTATGTGTACTTTTATTCCATATGCACCCGTTTGGCATTCAAGTGAACTCGATATGCAATGGCGATTATTCCGCGTCGATTATTTCACTTAATCGGCTTGTTTCACTTTTATTTATCTCCGGTGTTGAACAACATTTGCTGGTACACATATTGGGTCTCCCGGTCACTGCGGCTAATCGGTTTGTGGTGGTGGTTCGGTTGCGCCCTTCGTGATCCCGCGTTCATTCGAATTGACGGGAGTGTATGTTTATTCGCGTTGACGCACGTTTATGTAGGTCATTTTGCATATTTACCACACTTCTCTTTTCACACTCTTTGCCGACTGTGTACACAATGCAGCATGTCCCGTAGTGTGAATGTGTGTGTGTGTGTGTGTGTGTGTGTGAGGTTATGTGCTGAACCGCACCGTTCACTGACGTTCTGTTCAAGTGATTTGTGCCAGATATCGAACCATCATGTCTGACGTTTTGTTGTCTCCACTGTTGTGTGATGCGGTCACACCAGTTTTAAAGAGCCGTTAAACTCGTGACTCCAGATAGACTTAAAAGCAATGGGTTAGTTTGTTTAGCGGGTAACATTCCACTGTGACGCGAAAGCTTCGTCGGACTAAGTGAACCAGTGATGATATGATGATGATGATGATGTGTCAGCTGTACACCGTAACGGCGTTTCGCTGCCGTGCGACCACTATCAGTCGCACGCGGGCTGAGTATGCCGCGAGGACTCCCACCCATATGTGGATTTGAACCTGCGTCGCGAAGTTACGAGGCAAGCTCTAGGCTAGGGGCCGATAATTAGTTCCTTTATTTGTACAAGCCTTCGAACCGTTTGTACCACCTCTCCTCATTACCTTTAGTTTTGGTTCCGCTTTCCCCTGGATTCCATGTCCATTGTTCTGACTAACTTCTGACCCATGGCCTTCTAATAACCGCTTAAACTCGCACGCAACATTTACCTTTTGCGGTCCTTTGTGTATCAATTAAGTTGCGGTAGTCACAAATTGCCACCACTACTCAACTTTCCATTTGATTCTCTTTTGTGAGTGCGCGTTTATTTACAACTGTTGCCTGGTAGCACACAGGTTTTTTGAGTTCCTCTTCTGATGGCTGTTAGCCTGTTATTTCTGTCACCCCGTGTTTGAGTATCGCCCATTGGTTCCATTTTATATGCTCTTTTTCATAGCGATTTCCAATCGTTGCCTCGTTTTCAATTGAAACCGTTTGTTATTACACCTCTGCTCATGAAGCTTGACTCTGTGCAGATTGTCTGTACGCATCGCCACTGAACCTCGCATTCGAAGCGCGTTTTACCCCGTCTTTTACTCTCGTTTGTCATCTTTCACCCTTGGATAAATGTTTCCCCCATGTCGAGCCGTTGGTAGCCTCAGTTTCGTGGCTAGTCGGTATGGGTTCTATGTCCTTTGATAGGGTTAGGACAAGTTCTTCCTCACAGTCGATGGTTCGGGCTACCCCACCTCATCTGGATCTATTTCCATGCATTTCCGGAACTCATTCTGCCTTAACGCTGCTGGCTCTACCCCAACTCTGCTTATTTTGAACTTGTCTAAAGTACTAGTGTCCGTTTATTCCCGAATATGGTTTGATTTGCCGTCGAATCAGAGCCCCAAGTTTTTCTTGGAGTACACAGGGTCAACCTGCATCTTCTTGTGGCTACTTACAGTGTTATAGGACAGCTGCTTAAATTCCTGCTCTTCCAACCATCTACTTGGCCTCTTTGTCTCTTCAACTTACATCTCGATTATTTTCTGTCAGGTTCTCAAAGCACTCGAATTTCTGCACACCAATCATGTGATACACCGGGACATCAAGTCCGACAACATTCTGCTTGGTATGGATGGCTCGGTGAAACTCACGGACTTCGGGTTCTGTGCACAGCTGAGTGCGGACAAAACCAAACGGTCCACCATGGTTGGCACTCCGTACTGGATGGCCCCCGAAGTAGTGTCACGCAAGCACTACGGGCCCAAAGTAGACGTATGGTCATTGGGCATTATGGCCATAGAGATGCTAGATGGTGAGCCACCGTATCTGAACGAAAATCCACTAAGGGTAAGTCCCGGATCAAATCGAAATATCTATTCACTTTCTGCTGTTTGTGTCCTGAGCGGTGACCAAGCTCGAATTACGTTCATAACCATGTCTATGTATTCTGTTCGTTCCATCGTTCGACTTTGCTTCTGATCATCTTCATCCTCATGGACTGCGGATAGTGCCGTCCTGGTCGTATTTTGCTCGTTTCCTCGTCAGGCCAGTTTACCTCGTTCTTTACATCGTTAATGTCGTGTTATCCCATAAATATTTGTGTACTTCACTCACATTAGTGCTTTGGAGTTACTTCATCATAAGTACGTGTAGTAGTTTATTGTATTTTCTGTGGTTCTACATTACGCTGCTTTAGTCGTATCGGTCGGTACCTAATTTTGAAATGACCGAGCAGGCACCTTGTGGTAGTTGCTCCAAAGTCGTTGGACGTCGCGCAAATGCGATTACATGCAGTTTATGCGGCGTTAAGTTTTATATTTCTTGTATTGGTCTGTCTGTGAACCAATTTTGCGTAATTCAAGTCATTCAGCACGACTTTTTGCAGACTATTTGTAACCATTGTCAGTCTAAGCTTGGGCACAAAGGAGCTTAAAAGACTGACAAGCGGATCAGTAGAGTGAGGTGCGCTGAAACATGCAGCTCGATTTGTCCTGCACCACAATCAGAGAAACAGCCAACACCTAGTACGGCAGCGAATCTATACCTAGAGCAAAGTGCTAGCGCTCCGGCAAGCTCGGCTTCAACGCCTACGATTTCTTCAGTTGACACTAATTTTGCAATAAGCAAAGTGGTGATAACGAATGGAAAATGCAAATACCAAAGAAACCAAGAGCAATGTCCAGCGACCTGAGGCGCCGCAGCCTCATAGTTTTTCACGCACCTGAATCCTGTGATTCCAATCTTCAGGTGCGCTATAAACATGATGTCGTTTTTGCAAACGCTGATTGATAGACCGCTCGACCTGGATAAGGGCGGGCTGAAAATGAAACAGATCGCTCGTCTCGGAAAGAGAACCAAGGGTAAAAGTCGAACTATAAGGGTGACTTTTGTTGAAGAAGCAAATTCTAAGTTAATATTGTCCCACCTCGATAGGCTGAAAGATCAGAAGACCCACGTGCGCGCTGACTTAGACCCAGCAGACAGAGTTAAACTCAGGTATGGAATGGTTGAACTAAAGTGACTCACGGACGATGGAGAAACGAATCTCCGTATTGTAAATTTTCAGGTAGTTCCCCGGATTCCTCCGCGAATCCGGATCAATCGGTTTTTGATGCTTCAGCCATACCCAGTGCTTCCTACCGCGGCCTGCGCGTAGCCTTTACTAACTTCTGCAGTCTGATGAACAAACGCGATCAGCTGTGCTATTTTGTAACCTCTCAGCTACCAGACGTATTAGGCCTTGCTGAGACATGGTTAAACTCCGACGTCACCCCCCAAGAAGTGGAAACCAGCGGCTACTCGTGCTTCCGCTTTGATAGACCATCAAATGCTCGCGGTGACGTTCTGCTTTACATCAAATTTACCTTATGTGGGAGACTAGTGAGCGCCTACCGAAACGCTGATGGTCTATGTTAGCAGTTATGGTGTTCGATACACCTCAGATGCTGCGAGATGCTCGTAGGCGTGGTATATCGCAATCCACTGAGCCGCTGCTTGGACTGGTTGCCGCATGTCCGCAACCACATGAGTCTTCAGCTGTTCCTACTCATGGGCGATTTCGACTTACTCCGAATACAGTGGCCTGAGGCTGAACTTCTTCCCGTTCATTGGGAAGTCGAGAGGAAGTTTGCGGAGTTGATATTTGTAACTGGGGCCACACAGCACATCAACCAACCGACGCGCATAACTGCGCGCACTACTCCATCGTGTTTAGACCTGTTTTTGACCAGCTGTGAGCAACGTGTACATGACATTCAAGTCTTGGAGTCCCTGAGAGCGAGTGACCACTCGATGATCATAGCTAGCTTGGAATTTGCCGCTGCCCTATTCTCGGCCGCTGGAGCCAGCCTTCAACTATTGGAAGGCGGACTTTAATGGCCTCACTGGAGCAGCGTTCCAGATGGACTGATCGTTACCGGAGGATTCGTCTGTTGAAACCTGTCGAACTATCATTAAAGAGGGAGTGGAATCATTGTGCGCCCGATTTGTACCCCTCAAGTATCGGAAAGTTAAGCCAGTCAAACCACATTGGTTCGGCAAAGAATACAGCAAACTGGCAAACTGGCAGACTATGGAACAAATTCGTGTTATCTTGCTCTGACTAGGATTACAAGGCGTACAAGGTACAGCAAAATCACTGCAAAAACAGCAAAGCGCAGAAGCTTCGAAGAGCAGCTTGCATCCGTCGCAAAAACTGCTCCCAAGGGGATCGTCGTCTACTTGAAGCGGCGCCTGAGGCCTACAGGCAATGTGCCATTGTTGAAAAGCTCAGATGAACAGCCCCTAACCTCGAGCACAGATCATGCGTCCGCATTGGCGGCGCACTTCTCTTCCGTATTTGCAAGTGACCAGGTGTCTCTAACGAGTCCGACGAGTACCGCTCCCGCTGAACTAGACAGCCTGGATTGCAGCATTGAAGATGTACGCAAGCTGCTGGCAGGTCTTGACGGAACGAAACCTGCCGGACTAGATGGAATCCACCTACTAATCCTCAAGTCCCTATCGGCCATCATCTCGCCTTCTATAACTGAGCTATTCAACAGGTCACTATCCACTGGACTATTACCGGTTGATTGGAAATTCTCAGTCGTAAACTAATATTGAAAGCTGGTAACCCAAGCAATGTGAATAACTATCGGCCGATCTGCCTGATCGCTGTTTAGGCAAAGACGCTTGAGAATATCGTGAGGAAGAGTCTCTTGCAGCTTCTCAAGTCCAAAAGCCTCCTGACACCCACACAACGTGGTTTCGTGGAAGGTCGCTCGTGTATCACCAACCTTCTGTTGACAATGCACGAATGGTTGCAAGCGTTGAACCAAGGCAAGTCGGTGGACGTTATTTACATTGACTTCAGTAAGGCTTTTGACAAAGTGAGTCATGCAGTGCTCGTCAACAGGCAGAGGGTGTGTGGTGTTGGCGACTAGCTGCACCGATGGATCAAGAATTTCCTTGTTGACCGAAAGTGCATGGTCCAGGTCGACAACCATTTGACCGATTGGTATCCATCGAGCAGTGGTATGCCCCAAGGCACTGTACTGGTCAAATTTTGTTTCTGATTCATGTAAACGATGTGCCTCAGCTACTCCAATCACCTCGTGCGTTGTTAGCAGATGACTTGAGTAATCGCCACACCCAATGACTGTAACCTGCTTCAGCAGGACCTCGTTCGCCTCTCCAAGTGGTCTGCAGAAGTCAACCGATCAACCCTGTCAAGTAGCAATTCATGAGCTTGGGTAAGTGTGAGCACAGTCGAACCTACACGGTGGCAGGTCTACAGTTACATGCGAGACCTCGGTATACTCTCACACTACGATCTAAAGTCCATGGACAGCGCGAATAGGCTTTACCAAAACAGCCTTTGCATGCTTTGGGCACCCAAACGCATCTTCAGCACTTGATCCGAAGTAATTGCCACTCGCCTCTTCGTCTAACTAATATGACCAATGCTAGAGTATGGCTCTCCGCGTATTGTCCTATCACCCGTGTCGAGGTAGAAAAGATTGAGCGAGTGCACCATGTGGCCACCAGGCTGATTCCCAATTTGCGAGATGTGCCGTACGAGGACCGGTGTAAGAAATGGGCTTTACACCCTAGCTTATCGTCGACTGTGGGTTGACCTCCTCATGACCCACCGGATATTACATCTGGGTGCTTACCCCATGTTTAGGCCGCTGCTTCATCTGCGCACACCAAACAGTACACGAGGACACCGGTACAAGCTTGTAGTACCGGATTTGAAGCGGGTCGCTCACCAACTCTGTTTCGATCGGAGAGTTGTGAATGTATGGAACAACCTGCCGCCGCACGTAGTTGAGGCAAAGTCGGTGTCGGAATTTAAGAAATTCCTGGTCAAGCACTTTGCCGATATAAAATTTATCGAGCGCACTCTAACCTAACGGGTCATTGTCCCTGAGTGACATTAGATGCAGCTACACAGAGATATCTCTTCTTGCTGCTTCCAGCCAGTAATCAGTAATCATCATCGTCATCCACAGCAGCAACAACAACAACTGCTGCTGTTGTTGTTTTGTTGCTGTAGTACTACAGTAAACTATCAGTACTTTGAATCAACATCCCACTCCACATGACCATAAGTAGAGATTAAGCAAAAAGAATTGGATAATTAATGTAGCACAAATGCTGCGAATTAGACGATTGTGGGCGCTCAAGTCCTTTTTCCAGAATGCTGACAGCTAGGAGTACACGGTCCAGCACGCTGTTTATGTTATGAATGCTAGATGACATCAGTGACACTGAAAGTATTCGTTCAAGCTCGCTGTTTACCTGACTCATCACTGCATGTACTTTAAACAGCTACTGGCCAACGGCAGCAAAGGCACCACGAGTATCAGACAGGATTTTTTGGTCTCAGGCACGAGGTGGGTGGTCTTGTGGATCCCAAAAAAGCAACCTGGGGGTTTCATTTACCGCCAATTGGGTGATGAAGATCTTGCCCCATCAAACCCTGTATATTTCAACATCCGGCATACCACACAAAGTCCTTTTTCATGTGTGTATCATCCAGTGCAATTCACTCGATCTTGTTTGTTCTTATGACCGTCGCTTCTTATTGCACACCTAAGTACGGCTTCCTTACCGGCACCTGACTATCGCCTGACACAAGCACTGTTCGGTAGGCAGCGACGGTCAGTGGATTGAAACCCTTGTACGTTTAGATCAATGCGGCCGGTGTCGCGGTAAGCGCCCTCTTTCTGTGGCCCCTTTACACAGCCGTCAAGAACAGGCGTAAAATCATTTGATGCAAGGGCTATCGCTTTTTCGTGAACGTGATCTTAGTTCTGCAGCACCTTAGCCATTTTCAGCATTCACACGCCTGTCGTTACTAATTCAGTTATCAAGGTAGCCAGATCGGCTCGTTGTCTCAAAATTGTTAAATACAGCAAGGAAAAATTCACTGATAAGTTCATTCTCGCTTTTGTGAACGTCAGCACAGGCTCCAATTACTGGCACAATTAAATAGTACCATTACTTGTGCTATCACACGTGGACGGTGGTTTTTGTTGTTACTACTACTTCGCACCGGCTCACTGCGTTTAAGGTGACATTCTTTTCCTAAGTCCATCTGTTTTACATGGAAAGCGCTGAATTCAGGTGTAAATGCACAATCATCGTACTCCAGATACATGCTGATTTATGCTTGCTAGCGGATGATACATGCATAGTCTGTGTCATGTTCATGTCAAGAATAGGATGGCCTACTGATTATGTACTACCAACCTTTTTAAATCTCCGTCTAACCGTACCAGCTTTGCAGTCAAAAACTGTGCTGGCTCTACGTTGACTCTGGAATCGGTTCTCATTAGAGCGTCCAACTGCTTTTGTGGTGATGTTGGGGGTTGATCAACTCTCCCAGCCGTATATATTTTAAACTCTGAATACATACTCATTACTAGCACAGCGCTTGCCATTATCACGCAAGACGCTACCCTCCGACTGATCACAATAGTGATTGCGCTGTTTAGACATAATTCTTTCGAGCTCATGCATCTTCCCAGTAATTTCACTGCGCACTGGACGATGTTTATGTGAGCGGGCAGCCTGGAGTCACTGTCTGCCTTAGTCACTGAACAACCCTCATTTTCGTTGAAAGCTCTTATAACCAGTAAACGAATTTTCCACGCGTCGTGTCTCCATCGAACACAGGTTCCGCATGAGGTTCTTTACTGTCGCTTATAGAATTACGTTACTGTGAAAGAATTAACGGTATGAGTAAATTAATGTAAAAGTATTGCAGCTCATTCCGTATTCCCTCTACTTTTGCACCCATTTCGATCGTTCTACTAGGCACTATATTTGATTGCCACTAACGGGAAACCGGAAATCAAGGAACGTCACCGACTTTCCCCCGTGTTCCTGGACTTCTTGGATCGGTGCTTGGAAGTTGATGTGGAACGGCGTTTCACGGCAACCGAGCTGCTGAAGGTATGTTCTTTTATCACGTCTGACTTGTCATTCGTATTTTATTTATCGTACAACATGCCTCGTTCATCGCTGTCTCGATTAGGCATTCCGCTTCAATTGTGTCCAGTACATACATTTCCACCTACTCAGGCGCCTTTCATCAGATTGATCCACGATTTTGTTGCATGAAACGCTGTGCCATAGGGTTGAGATTTCTACACTGTTCGGATTACCATCAGTTGTGTTCTGGTCGTTAAGTTGCTACTTTACCTATCCAGCCGATACTAATCAGCTTTCCAGAACGTTCACATCCCCTTACTCAAGATGTCGTGCTTTTTCCAATACAGAATGCATTGTCTTTAGTGCCGAAAGCTCTTCGCAGTTAAACTCTAGCGCCGATACTCAGTTTGATCATCTGAGGTCATTCGGGGTTTGGATAAACAATCACTTTCAGATCATCACGTTTGGTGATACGCGCTCTTTTTATTTTCATTTCCCTATCCACAGCATCCTTTCATTACTAATTGTGCGGAGCCCTTGTCTTGTCTCATTCCTCTCATTCAACTGGCTCGGGAGCAAAAGTGAGCATCAGTGACTAGCGGGCGCCCCTCTCATCTTGCTGTGTACATACATACTCATTGGCACCTGGACTACCAGTTTCACACATTGACTCTTGGATATAACAGTGAAGCCCCCTTTAAAGCGCCCCTGTTGCCGTACCTCCTGGCCTTTCTTCATGGTCGCTCCTTTTCCCATCACCTGATTCCAACATCAAGAACCACATCTTTTCTAACGCAGTACTCCCATTGGGTCGTCTACCCACCTAATGTATAGGTTTCACGGTTTAAAGCCAATATCGCGTTTTGCTCAGTGGCGACAACATTTGTTCATACTTATGAGTATTGTTGCGCCTAGGTGTTGTTACCCTTCTTTTTACGCCTCCTCCCAATCGCAGTGTACCCAAGACCCCGTATCCGTATTCACTCCCCTTCCCGCATTTTGTCTTGCATTTGCTTTCCACCTACCTTGCCTTGCCTTTATCATGTTTGGCTTGTCTGCCATCCGGGGTATGAACGAAGTGGGGTTTTCTAGCGAGTCCGCATCAATCTTACATTTCTACTGGCTTGTATCTATTCATTTTAACACATTTTAGACGGGTACTTTGCTTCTCATTTTGCTTTTGTCCACGGCCACATACGCACGAGTCTAGGATTTTTTTACTCTTTGGGCTTTATTTTCTTTCTCCTCCGGCGCGCGTGACCGCCTAGCTTCCCACTGCGATATCTGCGCGGATTCTATCGTCTCGGTAACGCTGTTCCTGTTATGCTTTCTCCTACCATCTCTCTTTTCACTGTTGTCGTTTGACAGTCGCTTCGTGTACTAGCACACTATTGTCTAACTTTTCCTATTGCGCTTCTCATCGACGGAATATCCTCTTGGTTGTTTCTGGCCTATTTTCCAATTGAAATCACTTTCTTGGCTATTCATGCGTTTCTCCACTTCATGAGCGACTAACCCGCGGTCCATGTTGTCCACACTGCTCCACGTCACCGTCGACCAGGCTGTTATTTGCCTCAAACTATTACCGATATACTACAACCATGATGTTAAGCACATTTCTACCCCCTGAGTTGCTCTCTTTTTTATTCTGGGTGTTCTTTGTTGCATCACCTGTACGTTGGGATATAAAATTGTGGTAACATGTGCAAATAGTTAACCCTATAGATTCTTGCTTTCGGATGACACCAGGGAAAATTGATTCATTTCCTACACAGCCTTGGCACCTGAAATTCACAACCCTGGTCGGAGCACCGATTCCATCCGCCATTGTCATCGTTCACTTACGTTTAACGTGTACTTGATGGTGTCCAATGGGCGCTTACTCAGCCCGGATGTCAGCGCACTTTGATACAACTGGCTGGTGTGAATCCGTTCACATCGACGTTGCAAATGTCCACTTAAACGCTCCCGGAGGTCGACGCAAGCAAGTGCTTGGTCAGGGTCCACGCTCGTGCTCCAAGTCGAGCGACAGTTTTGGACACAGCCTCTCCAACGGTAACTTATCGCGATATGCTCGATTTGCATTCATGGCTGGTGGGCGCCAAGTCACGCTTCTGTGGGTGCTGTGTCGCAAGTTTATGCTCGTGAGAAAGAGACGAGCATCTTCACAGAGCTGTAGCAATCGCTCACCGTTATCATTACGGGAGCTTACACCATGTTGGCCGCCCAGATGAAGCTCATCAGAGGACAATTTTCCGACTTGGGCGTTTAGATCGCCAGCCAACACCACAGTATCCGTGCTGCTTCTGTAACGAAGGAGATCGTTAAGTTGCTAATAGAAATCATCTATCACCGAATCTGTGCTACAATTTGGAGGGGGCGTAGGCCGCAATGATAAATATGCACCTTTTGTTTCTGCGCGACTTCGTAGCATGGTATGAACCAGCTAATCTAACGGCGCACATATGACTGTTGACTGGGATCCGGTCGAACAGGGCAGCTTCAGCCCGGAGACTCGAAACAGAGTCGACGCCAGCAAGACTGGCATTTGAAGATGCATCATCGCCAGACCGGCGCAGTGAGAATGTCCCTCCAGTGTCGCATGTGGGGGATCGCAGGGTAAGCACGGAGCTCGAATCTTGCAGGCGGGTTTCTGGTAAACAGCAAATATCGATCGATAGGGTCTCTAGTGTGCGGGCAAGTGCTGCCTGTTGGCCAATCTCTAGCAAAGTGCGCACGTTGAGGCATGCCAGTCTTAGTGAGACTCGAGGACTCCAAAGGAAAACGGATGAACTGACGTTGTCCACTTGGTCGAACATGGACTTGTCGACTGGATTGGAGCGGCGCGCTGCGACTGTGTGAGTTGAAATTAGAAGACAAGCGACTATTGAAGCAAGGTGGGGGGAGGGCCATGAATTGGGGGATTGCAAACGGGGGGATAAAAGTAAAGTTGGAACGGGACGATAAAGATGAAAACCACAAGAAGGAGGATAAGAAGACGGGAAGGCCTGAGCAGTAGCATCCAAACCCCTATCCACCCTGCTTGATGCAGCAGATAGGGCGCCTTTGATTATCCTCTGCGACGGCCAGAGCATCAAGAAATTGTTAGAAGAAAGGTTCCTTGTATTGCATGGGCATAATACTGTCAGGTTGCCCAGGCCTAGACAGGAGAACGATTAGAGTTCTCAACCAAAGCCTTTATTTCAAAAACCTTACCGTAAGGCAACGGGGTTTTATCACCGGAATACATAGAGCCCGTTTTAGAGCGTAAGTAGCCATCCTCACTCCAACCCCTAACCTGGAGGGCCAGGAGACTCAGTTTGTCTGGTCTCTAACCATTGACCAATCTGGCATGAGTGGCTCTGAAGGTGCAAAAAGCACCACCCAGCATAGCTCAATGGATCACTGAGACACACAAACCGTCGCACCACATTAAGGTCCAATCTCGTCGCGTTCCGCAGTGAGTCGACGAACGAGTATTAATGTCAGTAATTATGTTACGACTGTCGTTAGGCTATACCCCTATGGTCAGCACAGTCGGTGCGACTCCGCTTCTTGTATATTGCCACTACGACCGATTCACTCCAGTTAGCCTGAAAGGTTACCTACCATACATGTTCGAACAGTGAGGTCAATGCGGCGAGCTGTCATTCCTGTCTCCGACTTGACGTCTCATCGTTTCGTGGTGGCTGACAGACACTGGCTAACGGCGCAATTGGCCTTTCTCGGTTTTTGTCGTCTGGGTTTTTGGCCTGCATTCACTTCCGGATGTCTGAGAATCCCCACTCGTTCGTGTATTTTGTTTGCATCAAGGCGCATGGTCGCTGCTGAGCTGTGGTCTACTAACGCGGTTCCTATCTCTCTACTTGTCAATCATCTTCACCTAACTTATTGCGCAAACAGTTTGAATTGGCTTAGTACCATGCTTCGTTTGGGTCCATTGTCAGTCTTTTTGGCCAATGTTTCAGCAACGCCTGCATTCATATTTATACAATGCCAAATCAATTACGCTTCATACTGTACGCCCGGGTCTAATATTCAATGAGCAATGATTTATAATGGGCAAAATATTCCCGTAGGATAACCGGAGTGCGGATCACAAAATAATGTTTTAAAATGGCACTGAAAAAGATACATTCTGGCTTAAAATGGCTCACCGAGTTATGCACATGGGCATCTATACTGGTCTGCTCACGGAGAGGACTGGTAAGCACATTGCGTTAATTCGTCTTCCGATGAAAAAGGAATGCTTCATATATATGGTTGGCGGCATCCGGTTTCGGATTTGCCTGTCACTGTGGCCAGCCACAGGACGCCTGCGCCTACAGAGGGATCATGGATGGCTTGTGCTGCACCACCCACAGCTCCAACCACACACCCCATATCCAGTGTGAACTCGAAGGAATAAGACCGGGAGGCGTGTGGATGGGAGCCACGTTTCATCAACGGAGCCGGCCCACACTCCTTCACAGGCAAACACAAGCACACTGTATTTGGGGAATCAAGCACACACAAGACGGTGGCTGGACCGTAGTCGGCTCCACACTGACTGCATGGAACCACTCTTCGAGCCTAGCACGGCCACAAGGACCGTGTACCCCGTCCACTCCAGCAACGACCAACTGTCTCCTGGAGCCAGGTAGGCGCCTTGTCAACATGCATATCAAGCGCAGCCACACGGGGGATATCAAGCAACAGCTAATCACTTGAAACGATGAAATAAATCCAATAATGGATACAGATACGGGGGCATAACTCTTCGCTAAATTAGCATATGAAGTAAGTTGGTTAGCAGTGATTCTGTGATAAGGAAAAAGATGTCCGCTAGTTGCGTAAAAATGCTACAAACGCAACAATGTCACCGAAGATAAGCACAATTAGCGTAAGCAACGTGGCCGGTTAATAGAAGATTATTCAGGTAAGCAGAACAAACCAAATAAAGTGGAATTAAATTTGTCCAGCTTACAAAAGGAAGAATCCGAAGCCGGGTGCTTCATATATATATATATATATATATATATATATATATATATATATAGTATTGGCCAAATTATTTGAATTTTTTCAATCAGCAATTTTTTTCACATTTCATCACATATCTCGTAAGAATCAAATGATGTAACTGTAAAATGGTTATATTTACCAAGAATAACATATATCGGTTAGCAAATTATCAAGGTTAGTATTTCGTAAATGATCCTTTGGCAATATTCAAGGAGTTAACACGCAAAGGCATGAAGTGAATGAGTTTTTTGCGAAGTTCAATCATGCTTTCACTGCAAGTCTAGGTCGCTACAATTTGTTCAATGAGCAGTTGCTTGTTTGTAATAATTTTTTTATTCATCTCTGACTTTAGAATTGCCCATAAATTCTCCATTGGGTTCATGTCAGGGCTATTACTAAGCCATGGTAACACTTCTATACCACAACCCTCAAGAAAACGGGTGACTTCACGCCCCTTGTGACATGGAGCACTCTCATGCATGAAAATGAAGTCTCTTGTCCCTGTAAATCCTTTTTCCCTTGACCATTCACCCGGCTGAAGGATCAGTTGGTGCTCCAGTAGTTCTTTGTGCTGCTGCTAGTTCATGTTGCCCTGGACGATGGAGAACCGACCAGTTCCGTAGATGCTCATAGAGCTCCATATCATGACCTGAGTGGGATGTTTGACTCGTTGAATGATGCAGTCTTCCCTCATCTGTTCGCCAGGTAATCGGCGGACATATAGAGATTGCTTATCAGAGCACCGGATGATGCACTCGTCGCTGAAAACCACCTAAAATGAAACACAGAAAACAGCAAAAGTAGTGTAGACAATTTTTCTGGAAAATCCTTATGAAAATAAAACTTCCGCTCCCAGCCTTCTTTGGAGCATTTTTGAAGCTGTTCGGCCCATTCCTGTCGTTTTTCTTTCATTTGTTTTGTCAACTTTTGCTTCCTCAGAGGCCTGCAAGCTCGAAGTCCAGAATCCAAAAGTCGTCTTCTTACAGTTCTCGAACTAACTGCAACGCCATGCTGTTCCAAAATCCCTTGTAGCTGTCTGCTAGATGCTTTGCGATTTTTTAGGCATTCCCTTAGTAGAAGTGAGTCGTCTCGAGCTGTTTCTCTTCTGCGACCACATTTACCGGAACGTTTAGGGGACAGGGTTAAATTCTTTTACAATTTCTCTCGAAGTCGACATACAGACGCTGGGCTGACACCAATCTTGGTTGCAATTTCTACTCCCTTAATATCTTTCAACAAAATTTCAATTTGTGCACGCTTTCGAGGGATTAGGTCACGTAATTTACCCATTAATATGCCAACACTATCTAAAAACTGGCGATCAATACGGTTGTGTCATTATTTGCGAAGACACCTTGAAAAATAACAATAAAAATAATTAAACATACCTATAAACTGATCCAAAACCAGACAAATGTAATCGTGAAATGTAGACTACAGCTGTAAATAGCGAAATATGATAAAAATGTAACCGTTCGTTTACATAACTACTGTACACGTCATATCAACCAATTTGTCATCATTTACAAAAAATCTCACATACTATGTCTTTGCGTGTTAACTCCTTGAAAATTGCCAAAGGATCATTTACGAAATACTAACCTTGATAATTTTCTAACCGATATATGTTATTCTTGGTAAATATAACCATTTTACGGTTACATCATCTTATTCTTACGAGATATGTGATGAAAGATGAAAAAAGTTGGTGATTGAA